GGATAAGCCTCAGCTAAACCCGCAGACTTCATCTCCCACGATTAGCTCACAGGACACATCCCGAAATGAGCTTGAATTTGATACAGTATCACAAACCCAACCAGCCCCCTTTTCTGCAAAACCTCAGCAACAGCCATTAGCGTCGCAGCAACAGCAGCAGCAACCTATGAAGCGTGGGAGAGATGTGATGGAGGATGACGACTACGATTTTTAAAAAAAGCCTTGTTTCTTTTTTTTTTACCTTGTAAATATCGACAACGTCATAGCACGCTCGTCATCCAAAAAGATGATTGATAGAATGCAATTGTTTATTTTATCTTGAAAAGCACTACAGTTAAGATTGTTCGGATTCCGATATTGTCGTCTTGAAGAGCACCTCTGTTAAGGATGCTTGCTGTTTAGTTATTTAACCAGAGTTGGGAAGGTCAGGTGAATGAAAATTAGTAGACATATCTTAACCTTTTCGGGCAGTATTCAATGTGGGGTAAAATAGCTTACGCCGATCAATTTTGGTGTATGACATCCATCAACCGGCTTTCGGTAAGCTGCAGTTCGTCATCTGACAGGCTCACTACCTTGAAATCGCTTCTGCAAAGATTAAAGATACATGCGCTTTTCATCAGTTTATTATATGCTCCTGCGAAGTTAACACCCGTGATCTAGTTTGTTCAATAAAAAAGAAATCTTGCTGTAGCTGTATCTTTCTTCAATCTAGCACTATATCAAATATTAGCAGCAATATTGTACTTATGACCTCATACGAACATATTCGTAAATTAGGATAAAATATATGGAACCCTAGACGTTGTTCGCTATATCTGTGTGGAGAAAAAAAAAAGCGAGACAGTTCAAAAAGAGTTCGCCAAAAGGGGACTGATAGATCCATTCTGGAAATGAATCGAGTCACACCAGTTATTCTCCATGGCTCCTCGAACGATTTCATCCATTGACCGCTTCAAGCAATGGTATCGCTCTGTGCCCCCCATTACCAGGGCCATTGTGACGATCTCGGTGGCAGTAACTGTGGCACCGGCTCTAGGTCTGATCAAACCGTATACCGTAATTCTAGATTGGAAAGCTGTTTCCAGGCTCGAGGTATAGGAAGCAATGTAGGTTATGATAAAGATCGCTAAACTCATCACTTGCTTCAGTTATGGCGTTTAGTTACAACCTTTTTTTGTAACAGACTAAGCTTCAGCTTTGTCATGAACACATATTTCTTCTATCAGTATTCTCTAGAACTGGAGACAGAAGTATTCAGGGACAAACCGGTCGATTACGCTTACTTTTACTTGGTTACATCGGGGTTGCAATTGGTATGATACGTTAGGTTTCGGAATGATGACAATATTAATATGCCATGCTTGGGAAACGAAAAAAAAAAAAAGTTTGCTGCACGATGTCTTGATCTAACGGTGTTAAGCGATGGGCTTATGTTTGCTGTGATCTATTTGTGGGCGCAGCATTTCCGTGAAAGGATGGTGTCATTTATTCCTGGCATGCAATTCAAGGTAAAGAATAAAAACTGAATACGTTCTGCAAAGTATATTCACAATGACTACCGCAAAGGCACGTTATCTTCCGTGGGCTCTCGTAGGCTATGAGTTTTTAACAGCTGGACTACCCGTATCATCACTGGTTGGAATTGGAGCATCCCATATTTACTACCGATTTGCTACGGTCTATCCTCGACAGGGTCGTCCGCGGTACCTAGAAACACCCGAATTCCTGAGGCTTTTGTTTTCTCAAGGAAGATCTACTCGTCACCAATGGGGCCGAGGATATCGCTTACGCGGATGATGATCGATTTCCGGCCTTATCTCGTAATCTGCTATACCAATATGAAGTTGCGCTATAAGTCGAAGTAGACGCCTTTCTTTATGGCACCACTTGTGTTCAAGTAGTGTTATTGATATTGAACAATTTCTTCGTTATCACCTACAGTTCAATCAACGAGAACAATAAAACTGAATTCTATGTCCGCTATAAGATCTTGTATGTAAGGTCTGGGGTTTAAGCAATTTGCGCCACTTTTGCCGTTAGTATACTTAAGCACGCTGGTTGGAACGAGAAATAGAAGGAAATGTTTCTACGGTAGCCTCTGCGAAATAGACGATGTACTGTATAAGGAAAGACTTTGACCTTCCTATGTTCAACTCTTCATTCTTCGAGCCATATGTCCATTATTTAAGATACCATATCAGTGGATTATTTTGGGGTATCAACTCAAGCTCCTACACTACGCTTAGTGATTACTTGTTGCGTGCCTCCGTATGCGTCTTTAACCGAGACCAACCAGTGCATTATTTGAACTCCGATCGAGGTCGACAGGGCTTCAAGTTTGAAAGGTCAACAAAACTTTTTTTTTCAGGTTGCTGTGACCAGCTGTTGCTTTCCCCTTTCTTCCTTACTTCTTTTGAACATACCCCCTACTCCTCCCTACTCTTCAACCCATGTTCTCTAGGATTGCATTCCAAGCCACCCGACGCTCAGGACATCAGCTTGCCCAGGTAATTTATCCCACTTTTCAACATCCAAAAGCTCCTTCTACGCACGTACAGAGAGAGAGAGAAAGAGAACCCACCTACATTCAACAACAATACCATTATCAGTCTTAACTCGCTCGTCGAGAACACTCACAACACCTACTTGTTGACCGGAAAAAAATGAACTGATTATTTTATTTTATCCTTTTCTATCTTAAAAAAATATAGGCTCGTTTCGCGTCTACAAAACCTGCCGCTGCAACCGTATGTACTCACATTGAAACGAATTGTATCGAATACTAAAAACGATTCTCTTATAAAGCACCCAACCCAAGTTTTCGGTGTCACTGCGGCTATTGTTGGTGCCACTGGTTTGGCCTACATGTACGCTGATAGCAACATCTCCGCCAATATGGCTGATGAGGGTCTTCACTCCCCAGAGTATCCCTGGCCACATAAAGGTCCTCTGAGCACTTTCGATCATGCTGCGTATGTTTTCTATTAACGATCGATGACCGTTTGGACTTACAATTGAAACAGCATTCGTCGTGGTTATCAAGTCTACAGAGAAGTTTGTTCTGCCTGCCATTCGCTTGATCGCATCGCTTGGAGAAACTTGATCGACGTTTCGCACACTGAAGCCGAGGTGAAGGCCATGGCCGAAGAAGTTGAATACGAGGACGGTCCTGATGAGAGCGGTGAGATGTTCATGAGACCCGGCAAGGTAAAATAGCAAGACCAAGCGGTATCATAGACAGGTGTACTAATAGTTCATCCTGAAAGCCTTCGGATTACATGCCCAAGCCCTACCCTAATGAGGAAGCTGCTCGTGCCGGTAATGCTGGTGCTCTTCCCCCGGATCTCTCGCTGATCACTAAGGCCCGTCATGGGGGTGAGGTAAGAAGTCCGGCTCTACCTGAAGCGTCGATTAATGGATTTTTTTTGAATAGGATTACATTTTCTCATTGCTCACCGGTTATGTTGACGCCCCCGGTGGTGTTGAAGTTCGTGAAGGTTTGAACTACAACCCTTACTTCCCCGGTGGTGCCATTGCTATGGCTCGTGTCCTTTTCGACGGTGTTGTTGAATACGAAGATGGCACTCCTGCCACCACGTCTCAGATGGCTAAGGACGTTTCTACCTTCCTTGCCTGGGCCGCTGAGCCCGAGCACGACGACCGTAAGAAGATGGGCATGAAGGCCACCATCATCCTGACCGGTCTTACCCTTCTGTCTGTCTGGCTTAAGCGCTTCAAGTGGGCTCCTATCAAGACTAGAAAGATCGTTTACAAGTAAGATTTATCCAGACATTCTACGAATGAATTCTAACCATTGCTCTAGTCCTCCGAAATAAGCGAGATTTACCTTTTCCCTGAAGATCAAGAAGCAAAGAGGATTGTTAAAAAAAAATAAAATAGACCCAGGCATTATGAAACTACTCGCATGGATATCTGATAGCAACACATCATGCCAGGTTTATAGACTCATTCTGAGAGAAACAATATAGAGTTCTTTACAGGATATATTGGGACTGGATAGTGGATCGACGCATATTAATCTAACACACTTTTAGCTATGTATTGAATATCCACGTTGATGATACACTTTATCATCGCATCCGCCAGCATTTAGGATATCCATTGTGTATAATGGACAAAATCAATCGCAGGATATGGCATTGAACCCCAATAACGCGCTGAGAAACAGAGAATATCAGACATGGGGGTTATAACGCGTGTAGCACGAACCGAACAGTAAGATGGATTATCAGCTACAATTTGACCACATGACGGGTTTTGAAGCCATAGACCTATTTAAAATGATAGATGGAGCTGCATAACTTTAAACAACTGGTAATTGATACGACCATTAGTCAATAAGCAAACATTATACCACTACGGAAGATTCATCGCAACGTTGGTTCAGTTTATGATATACGTAGTCTGGCTTTTGGTATGTCTACAACAACTATTTCAGCAGTCATGGCTGGTTTGCTTTTTGTTTAGGATGGACCTTCCTTGCATGGATGCAGGATATAAGTTTATTATCCGTCTTCTTTTTTTTCCCCTTTAGATAACAATAAACAAAGCGCGTTGATAAGATAGCCACTGCATTTTACTGGCAAATATTTATTCGTGCAGTATTAAACCTAGTGATATTCAATACATTGCTTTTTCAAGCCTTTGAAGCAGCCAACCTTGACAAGAAGGGATCCGGCTAAGTCTCGATTAATCAAAATCTTGCTGCTGTTCCCTGTTGACATTAACTTAGTTTAGCCTGTGAATAAACCATAAAAAGATGAACGGACAAGGTCGTAAATTGATTGTTTATCAATTTTAATGTTTTTAATAAGCAGCATTATGGTAAGGTAGACACGAGGCGGCATAGAAAAGAATTGATGTTAAGTTTCACTGAAAGGAACTTGCAGACGAACGCATTGAAAAACCCAAGGGCAAAAAAATCCAAGCATATGATTGGTTGACTAACGCCGCCAAAAAAGCGGAACCTAAAAAGATGCTCCTAGCGAGGATCGAACTCGCAACCTCCGCGTGACTCTAGTATAGCTTGTAACTATAAGCACGGCGCGCTAGCCTATTACGCCATAGGAGCTCGGTTACCTTGCAACACAAAAAAGTTTCTCTGATTGATATCAAACAGGAAGAGATAAGAAATGGTTAGAAACGCTAGTTTAGAGCTAAATTCCTTAACTAAAATTATTGTTCAACGATATACAACTATAGCAAAATCGATTAGTATTATCTTTTGCAAATGAAAACTCAAGGAAGATATGCGAATAAATATTTTTATTCATAACGTTAAAGCTTAAACATTATTTTATAGTACCACTACACTATCCAAAGTTTCTTTTAGTGAAAGATTACTAATTGTGGTAACGATGTGTACATGTCCGACATTAATCTTTGAATTCAAGAAATGCAATGGTAATGACTCAGTAACTAGTTTACACTCTGTATTTTATTTGTATTAGCTCATGTTAAATAGAGGCAAACAAGTGTTATGGAGCTATCTGATACGTTCAGCTACAGAGCTTTTTCAAAAGTTTTTGAAGCTTTGGAGAGTCAAGTTTTGCGGAATCATCCAATCAAACCGTGAACATCCCAGTAAAAGAGTTTGAATCAGAAACCTGTTCTCGTTCGAGGGGCAAGCGCAACTAATCACAACGACATGGATACGCATCCCATTAATTAAAAGATAATTCCAAACGACCCAGCGCTTGAAAAAGTTGAGGATACGGGAAAAATAGCGGCAAAAATAATGTAGCTGATTCTGTTTGTTTTATACAAAACGCCAGCATGATGTATAGAAACAGAATGGGTAAAGGTTAAATTTTTACTAAACGTATCGTTTATCCTAACAACGAAAGGAATTCAGTAATAGTTATTAACGTTGACAGTTTGAATTGCTGAGTATTGTATCGAGACATACCAGTGTTGTTATCTGGAAACTACTGCTGCCTTGACGGGATAACCTGACCGTGGCAAATATTAGTTTGGAACATCCTGATCTTCTATTGTAATTGTCTGTAACGAAGCCTATAGGAAATGGTTCGGTTTCTGTAGGTAATAGAAGTATCTATGACAATGCAGGACCTTGCCGCCTAGATGATGAATCTCCTGTCCTGAAAA